CAGCCTCGTGTGGATGCCACCTAGCTGCAGCCTCATATATACAACACCTAGCTACAGCCTCGTGTGAATGCCACCTAGGTAGAGCGTCGTGTGTGTGACAGCTAGCTGTAGCATAATATATGTAACACCTAGGTACATCCTCATTTAGTACTAGCCAGTGAAGAGATCACCCGTTTAATAAACATACAGCTGTATTACACATTGTTCAATACCAAAACGCGTGCTTATGTACTCTCGGGACACGTTTCACGAACAAATATTGAAAGATCTCAAGATCTCTAGGCTTATTCAATGACATTGCGTGTGGAGATGATAGATCACTGAGAGGAGCTCATGCACACTCGATGACCCCAGCTACCTTGTTGCTAGGCTGACGTCACATGGCATTGTTTCGCCGATGGATCTTGCAACAAATTTCAACAAATTACGTCATTACGGGTATTGTGACGTGATTGTAAGCTTTGAGGTGCAAGGCCCCGTTCCACAAGGCGATCGTATTGTAGCGCAACGACATTCGTTTGTCTAAATCAAAGTATGTGAGTTGCCATAACCTTAGAGCTACGATAATTTTGTGGAACGGACGCCTGAATTGTAAAAGTTGACCGTTGTATGGTATTAGATTCATACGTTTTGACGTGTTTGAAGTATTATTCTGTTAAACTCAATTGGATTATGCCGTGGATCGTGTAGGTGTCAGCCTATTCACACCCAACAGTATAATTCTGAAAACGTTATAAGTGGCTGATGAATACTAACTGACAGAACCACATCATGATCACTTCACCGGTGGTGCACGATGACGTCACAGGAAACGACCGAATGAGATTGCCAGGTGTGGAGGGGAATCCCCGCGTGAAAATAGGTCACACCATCCTGACCAGATTTGTTGTGTGTGAGCAATGAACCCTATACAGTAAGTGCAGTATACCATAGGGGTTGTAGTATTCATGTTAGAAATAACCAAATAGTTTAATGCTATGTAGAAATACAAACTAACACTGACATGTTTTATTCAATACAATTTGAGTGAATCTGTAGAATTAAGATATTATCACATATTTAAACCATGTATTCTATCAGTATCACCAGCTATCATATACGCGAGACACTGTGTATACAAGCAGGGAGAGGGTCTACCCAATTGAAAACGGCTGTGGGCTGAATAGAAGCGTCATTTGGCGGCAGTCAGTTGACATTATGTGGGTAGGGTATAGGTCACACCCGAGTAAACACTGTGTGTGGGGAGAGGGTCTACCAATTGATAACGGCTGCGCGCTCTATTTAAGCATCAGTTTGCAACAAACAGTTGACAGAGAAGGACGTGTCTAGAACACTCTCAAGCATATCAAGCTTTCTACACTCGGCTCGGCTATTTAACCATACAGGTGTGTGATATGAACTCATAAGTATGTTAATACAATGTGTCGTATAGTTTGCACAGGCAGTTTTCCTCTCCGTTAGGCCGTAAATCAATCACAATTGCTATGGTTTGAGTTACAATAAAGTTTTCATCCTGAATTTAAAAACTGAATAACAAACGCATTCATATGTATTTACAGTAATTCACTATACATAATACTCTATGAAGTGTCATGTGTATTCCGTTGAGTGTAAGATATGAAAAAAAAAATAATACAAGCAAGAAAAACATATTTATAGAAATAAGAATAATTTCTTTTATATCTTTACAAACAGAATGGACACCAAAAAAGACTTCCTTAAAATTGTAAATTCCCTCTATGACCTTGAGTTTTGGGCCACTGCTAACAACTTTACCAATGATACCGATGTAAACTTGAAGAGAATCGATCTGATGTCCAAACAACTTCCTAACAACAATGACCAGACACAACGCAGCACTTCGCACAAATGTAACCAAGTCTTCAAAAATAATTTCACTTTAATGAGTCATAAGCGTACAGTGCACTCCAAGGAAAACTTTCAGTGTGAGAATTGTTTGGTCATGTTTAGCAGGCGTGATAGCTTACAAAGACATCAATGTAACCGGAAAAGGCCAGCCCGAGAAGATAATCAGTCTCCAAAGAAACGTCTTCGGTTTTCCTCTCCCCCTGAAAACCTCCCTTCCCCTGCAAGATACGATACATGCAATTGGTGTGGTCATTTCAAGTGTATTTTACCTGGAAAACTCTTCTGTGAGAGCTGTGATGAGAAAGGTCGTGAGTGCATCACATGCCATCGCCCTGTCCCTGAGCGGCTATACAGTCAACGAGTGGATGAATGCAATAGATGTGTTAACAGACGAGAGAGATACCTGTCGAGAGGTAATCAGGTTGGGGGAAGGTCGGCTCTCGCGGGATCACTGAGGACAACAACACTGACTCCGAGTGATGTCAACCATGTAGATATTCTGCAATTCTTTGCTGATGAACGAACCAATATCATTGAGATATTACATGACTTTTTAGAAGATCAGAAAGGTATGAAATGGTTTCTTACCCTTAAGTTAAAGTATGTCAAATATGACGAAAATAACGAGAGTCATCTAGCTGATCCGGTCGTGAGGTCTACAAACTTTTGGACTCATAATTTTTCGGAAATTGATGATCAAATAGCTCAGGCGTTTCAAAAATCAACACAGGAATTTCAGACCGAGGGAAGTGGTTGAATTTTAGATCATAAAGTGCATTTGGAAGTAAATACAGCAGAATATGTACCCCAATCAGCCAGCTCTTACATTCCACTGCCAAAGTACTTACAAAATAAGACAGCAATCTTAAATGTAAATAATAATGATCAGAAATGCTTTGTTTGGTCTATTCTTGCTGCCCTACACCCTGTTTCCTATAAAGATAATGCAAATCGAGTGACAAAGTATGTAGGGTATGAATCCGAGCTAGACCTGAATGGTATTGACATACCAATACTTCTCTCTCAAGTTTCCAAATTTGAACAACAAAACCACATTTCTGTCAATGTATTTGGCTACGAGGAGAAAGACGGTGTGTTTCCTCTCCATATCAGTAGGCAACCATTTGATAGAACTGTTGACCTATTGCTCCTAACTAAAGGAGAAAAGAGACATTTTTGTCTCATTCGAAATTTCAGCCGTCTTATGGCAGATAGAACCAAACATGATGGAAAAACATTCTATTGTAGACGCTGTCTGCATGGTTTTATCCGGCAGGATTTTTAGATGATCATGCCTTCTATTGTTCAGATCATAATGCCCAGAAAATCAGATTACCTGGTGAACACAACAAATGGATTAGATATTTATCTGTTCAGAAACAGCTAAAAGTCCCTTATGTTATTTATGCAGATTTTGAGGCAATCACCAGGAAAGTTAAACAAACTGAAAATAACACATCAAACACGACTGTTTATCAAAAACATGAGCCTTCCGGGTTCTGTTACAAAGTGGTCTGTTCAAAACCTACTGGTACAAAACCTGCAGTGACCTATAGAGGCCCTGTAGTCATTTCGCATTTTATTGAATGCTTGTTGGATGAAGCACATCTCATCTATGAAAAGCTTAAAGTTCCTGAAACTTTAAAAATGACTGAAACTGATGAGTTGGCATTTCAAATGGCAGATACATGTCATATTTGTCAGAAACCCTTTGATAATGAGTCTATCAAGGTTCGTGACCACGACCATTTAGAAGAGGGGTATAACTATCGAGGGGCTGCCCATCAAAAATGTAATCTGCAATTTCAGTTTAGAAAGGTGAAAGGTAAACATAGTTTTCATAGGGAAGAATTCTTTATCCCTGTTATATTTTACAACCTCCGTGGTTATGACAGTCATCTGATCATGAAACAGTTAGACAAGTCTGTAAAACAGAAGCTGAGTTGTTTGGCAAACAACATGGAGAAATACATTTCATTTTCCATCGGCCATTTGAGGTTCATTGATTCATGTCAGTTTCTTCAATCCTCTCTGGGAAAACTTGTTGAAAATCTAAAGAAAAAAGACCCTTCCAAATTTATCCATTTAAGGCATGAATTTGCAGATCCAAGTCAGGTAGAGTTATTACTGAGAAAGGGAGTATATCCTTATGATTTCATGGACGATGAAACAAAATTTGAAATGAAAGAACTTCCCGAAAAAGAGGATTTTTACAATAGCTTATCAGATAGTTCCATATCTGATGAAGATTATGACCATGCACAATATGTGTGGTCTACATTCCACATTCACGACATGGGGCAGTATCATGACTTGTACATGCTAACTGACGTTTTACTTTTGGCTGATGTGTTTGAAAACTTTAGAAGAACAGCTTTAGAAAACTACCAATTAGATCGAGGACACTATTACACGCTACCTGGGTTTGGATGGGATGCAGGGTTGAGAATGTGAAATGTAGAGCTAGAGCGGCTGACAGATGTGGAAATGCTGCTCATGATAGAGTCAGGACTCAGGAGTGGTATCAGCATGATATCCAAAAAGTATTCTGAATCAAACCTACCAGGTCAGAAACATTACAAACTGATGAACCGAATAGACACCTTATTTACCTTGACGCCAATAATCTTTATGGGTGGGCTATGTGCCAAGCCCTCCCTGAGCGAGATTTCCAGTGGGTAGATAACTTTGAGCATTTAGATATAAGGAGTATTCCAGCTGACGCAGATATAGGTTACATTCTTGAGGTTGACCTTGACTACCCATCTGGTTTACATGACAGTCACAGTGACTACCCTTTAGCACCCCAGTCTATGACAGTGACACATGAAATGCTTTCTAAATATTCTCAGGATTTGAAAGTTGGCTTAAACATTAAGGGAACACCATGTAGAAAGCTTGTACCAAACTTGTTAAACAAACAGAAATATGTTATTCATTACAGAAATTTACAGTTTTATCTGAATCAAGGCATGGTTCTAAGGAAAATTCATAGAGTCATTCAGTTTAAGCAGTCAACATGGCTAGAACCTTTCATTTATTTCAACACAGAGAAACGTAAACAATCTACAAATAAAACAGACAAAGCGTTTTTCAAATTGATGAACAATTCTTGTTTTGGTCGTTCCATGATGAATGTCCGAAAACATGTCAAAGTTCAACTGGTGAATTCAGCCAAACGTCTAAAGAAACTCTGTGCTGAACCAACATTTGATGCTTTCAAAATTTTCAATCCAGATTTGGCTGCTGTTCACTTGAAAAAGACAACACTGTTTTTGAATCAACCCCTCTGTGCTGGCTTTTCCATTTTGGATCTCTCAAAGATCCATATGTATGACTTTCATTATAATTTTATCAAACGTAACTATGGAGAGAAAGCCCAGCTCTGTTTTACTGACACTGACTCGCTGTGTTATGAAATAGAAACCCATGACCTGACTGCTGACATACAAGAAAATATTGATCTGTTTGACATCAGCAATTATAAATCTAACCATCCCCTATATTCCAAAACTAATGAAAACGTTCTGGGAAAATTTAAAGATTAGCTTGCTGGGGTGAAAATGTTGGAGTTTGTAGAAGTGAAGGATGGAAAAGAAGTAGAAAAATCAAATGAAATACAACACGCAAGAGCCAAGGGTATTTCTGAAACTGTTCGTGATAGACAACTTCGACATGCTTTGTACAAACAGTGTCTCTTTAAAGAGAAGCAATTTAAGCACCAGGTGAAACAAGTCGAGATCACCAACTGTACACAGCTTCTATCAATAAGATCAGCCTCTCCCCTTTTGATGATAAGAGATATGTCCTCAATGATGGAATCCACACACTGGCCCATGGTCATTATAAAATTGATTCTTAAGAAAAACCAATTTCATATCTACCCTTTGTGTATGATGTAGTATGACTCAACAGTGTTAGATTTACCCAGCAATGTCAGAGTCTAACTGTTTCATATTCTCTAGAATAGGTTTGAAGAGGGGCCCATTTCCAAAGTAGCCTATATATCTAATGGCTGTCACGAGTCTTTCAAGAAAAGTAGTTTTCCAGCACTTCGTCAATTTCTTTTCAATCCATCTCTCACTCTTCCCTTCATCTTCATACTCTTCTTTCTTTTTCCAGATTTCTTCCCTGCACGTTTTTAGTGTTTGTTCCCACATGTGTTCTAAGCCTTTCACCTCCCACTCTATATCAGCTTCACTGAATTTAGAGGTCATTGTAGGCTGTCTAACATCGCTCTCATCAGCTGTCTGAATTTTAAGTCGTTTCCTTAGGGGTCCCCCTCCATTCTCAGGGCACCACGATCTGACATGACGCTGAAGGTCATGATTATTTTCAAACACAATACCACACTCATCACAGGAAGGCATAGTTGTATCAGTAGTGTCGTCCTCTGATTCACTGTAAACTGGAGCGGCTACTTCTGAGATGTGATCTCTTCTGGTGTCTGGCTTCAAATGATGCTGATTGACAGCCTGCTCCTCTTTTATAGGCTGTGGGGTGTTGACTGTTTCAAGTACATTAGGTTGTAGTCTTCCTGATTCCAAGGTAGTAGGACGCAAGTCGATTGTCAGATTGCCATAGGGTTTTTCAACAGCTTCTTTATACACACACATAAACCAGCCGGTATTGTTGGGATAGATGCGCCTGGCAAACAAGTTGACTTGATGTCTGTCCACAGGGGAATTAAACAGTGTCACGTTATGAGAATTCAAAGCAATGTCACGTGACTCCTTACCTCTGGGAAACAGATTTTGTAACAGTAAGAAAATAAAGACATTCTTATGGTGAGAGGTTCGGGTGAACAGTTGGGAGATGCGTTTATCATCTTTAGCCTCTGACATGAGGTCATCCAGTACAATTATGTTGTTATTCCGTGCATCCAGATAGTTATCCTCGTGCAGGTTGTAAGGAATCCCCTTCACAAACGTCAAATAGGGTAACTGTCCACTGATTATCTGGTACAGAGGCTGCCACTCCGTATAACACCAGATAATGTTATTGGGTACAGGTTGGATGCGATTCTGTAGTAAAATGTTGTACACAAACATAGTCTTGCCACTTCCACTTGGACCCACCACCACAGTATTGGATGGAATGGTAAAGTAGAACTGTTCTTTTAGTGCTGGAGGAGGTGGAGGAGGAGGAGACGTGGGAGGAGGAGGTGGAGGAGGTGAGGTTCCCGGAGGATGTGGAGGAGGTGAGGTTCCCGGAGGAGGAGGATATGAATGCATCTGTCTCCTATGTCTATGCATATTATCATTTCTAGAGAACTGTCTCCCACAATTAGGACACGATGTGGACTCCATGACGATAGAAATGCAACTGACACTGGAACAAGAGGAAGACCCTTATATACTCTGAAGATCAGTTTCTGGGATCCAACTGTTAAACTTTTTGGGATAACCCATCCATTTCACAAACACCTCTTTTACGCCAGCTCGCTTCCTTTTCTTCAAAACCTTCTCCACACTGTGTCAGCGGGCTTGTCTACTCTCTGTAGTTCATTTGCATAGAAACTACCTTGAACTAGATCATCAGCCATATCTTTCAACAGATAGATAGGCATACCATCACGACAGAACCTTCTTCTGATAATAAAGATTTCCTCAGTCCATTTTTCTTGATAGTCTCTTTGAAATGTATGTCTCAAATGAGAGAGTCTTACTTTATCTGTACATCGTGGTCTTGAGGGTCCGTATCACTCTCTCGGCATAAGAAGCGAATAGGCATCTTGGGATGTCAACCACTTCTTTATGTGATGCAAACTAATATCAAAATTTCCCCTCCTTTTTCACAATGTGATACAACTTAGCAGGGCCAGAAAAGGAGGCTGGGTGTTTGGGATTCAAATAAATACTAGACAAATATGCTTTCCATCCGTCAGCAGGCATGGTCACACGTGAAATGAAGCCTACACGATGTAAATAGAGCTTATATGTTTATCCACTACATAGCCTATCAAAACTACAGAGACGGGCCTAGGTTACCTTCAATAACAAACGTGCTTGTGTGTTTATGTTAACCCGTGGATACAGAGGACTGCGCTGCCTTCCTCAAAGGTTTGTTTACACAACTGATTGCCTTTAGTGGACAATGCTGGTATGTGACCTAGTTTATCACTCTGTTTACAGTAACAAAACAATTTCCCTTTACCTATGCAACTAACGTAAACATAGAAGAACTGACAACATTGCTTCCTCACTATTTCAAAGGAATTTCATACATACTATTCTACAGATTTTGATACTTATTAGTCCATGTTTAAATGTGTAACCGTTGCAAATTGATCTGTCTAAAGCGCGGGGATTCCCCTCAACACCTGGCAATCTCATTCGGTCGTTTCCTGTGACGTCATCGTGCACCGCCGGTGAAGTGATGTGGTTCTGTCAGTTGGTATTCATCAAGTGGCAAGTATTATAAAATACTAAACCCGCTACCGTGCAAAACCAACTTTATGAAACAAGTGAATAGTTGTGGTATCTGACTGACTTTCGCTCGTCAAATACCAGAACTATTCACTCGTTTCACAAAATTGGTACAGCATCATGTGTATGCCACCTAGCTGCAGATTCTTGTGTATACCACCTTGCTGCAGCCTCGTGTGTATGCCACACCAGACAGTATAATTCTGAAAACGTTAAAAGTGGCAAGTAATAAATAAAATACTAAACCCGCTACTGTGCAAAACCAACTTTATGAAACGAGTGAATAGTTGTGGTATCTGACTGACTGACTGCAGCCTCGTGTGTATGCCATCAAGCTACAACATCATGTATGCAACACCTTGGTACATTCTAGTGTGTATGCCACCTAGCTACAGCATCATATACGTAACACCTAGCTGTAGCCTCGTGTGTATGACACCTAGCTACAGCCTCGTCTGTATGCCACCTAGCTGCAGCATCAGGTATGTAACACCTAGCTACAGCCTCGTCTGTATGCCACCTAGTTGCAGCATCAGGTATGTAACACCTAGCTACAGCCTCGTCTGTATGCCACCTAGCTGCAGCATCAGGTATGTAACACCTAGCTACAGCCTCGTCTGTATGCCACCTAGCTGCAGCATCAGGTATGTAACACCTACCTACAGCCTCGTCTGTATGCCACCTAGCTGCAGCATCAGGTATGTAACACCTAGCTACAGCCTCGTGTGTATGACACCAAGCTACAACCTCGATTGAACGAGATCCTAGCTAGGGCTACGCCTATGTAACACTTAATTACGGCCTCGTGTGTATGACATTCTATTTAAAACGTCGTGTTTAACACTTAGGTACAGCCTCGTGTGTGTGATATCCTCGTTAGAGTTTCATGCATGTTTGATAGCATAATAATATGTTCCCCCAAATGCAGGAATATTAAAATTTCTCTATCCGCTTTAACAAAAAGAGATAAATCGTAAATATAATATTTGGCCCCTCCTTTCATTGAAATGCACTGATAGCGCTTGTCGTGGATTCTGAACCAATCTGAACTGATTAAGAACCGGGGGATGTCACTTCTGTCTGCTATGAGCACAATTTACTCTTGTACATTATTTTATGTCATCAACGAAATTTCTTTGAAATATCAAAGATCAAAGCTGTCTTCATACAAGACTATTCTGCTACAGATGTATATTTACTTAACGTTATTTTGCAGAATAGTCCATAGAAAAGTTTTATGTACATTATTTTTTTATTCTATAAATTGTACTTCATAATGGCAATGTTTAATGTATTCTGGATTAAGTGGAATTATGTTAAGAGGTAGTTATGGCTAAGTTATATTAAGCCTTAACTTTTCTTTAAAATACTTGACACACAAACAACAATTGCTTCAAGACAGATCGGGATTAATGATACATTTTATGATAAATTCGGGAAAATATATATATAAAAAATAATTGAAACAATGCACAAAGGTATCATTCCCAGTATATCTGTACCATGAAATGGGTCATAACAATTGCTCTTCTCGGACTGCGGTTCGCAAAGATGATGTTTTTAGGTTTGTCAGTACTTTACTCGTCTTTCCTGAATTCGGCGGTTTGTAGATAATCGAGTCTGTTTGTTTGTTGTTTAACGCCGCACTCAGCAATAAACCAGCTATATGACGGCGGTCAGTAAATACTCGAGTCTGGGCCAGACAATCAGGTGATAGATATCATGAGCATCGATCCACGCAATTGGGATACGATGACATGCAACAACCAAGTCAGCGAGCGTGACCACCCGATCCCGTTAGTCGACTCTGACGGCAAGCATAGGCGCCTTAATCGAGTCTGAACAATACATTCCAGTGATTGACATCATGAGCATCGATCTCCGCAATTGGGATACGATGACATGCAACAACCAAGTCAGCGAGCCTGACCACCCGATCTCGTCGGTCACATCTTACAACTAGCATGGGTTGCTGAAGATCTATTCTAACCCGGATCTTCCCGGACTTTGCGGGATTCACCTTGTGATAAACGTATGAGACCTGCATTCCCTCGGGCTTTCCTTAAGCTGACACGCCTGGAATATAACTGACATGCAAAACTCATTCGCTCACTCATATGTTGGTCAAGCACATGTTTGTATTTGTGTGGATCACCAAAACGGTAAGAGAAAAACTTCCTTATTGAAGCATATGGTCAAATTCCGTAAAAAAGAAAAGAATGATGAGGCTATTCATAATTGTTTCAATGATTCTGATGCATGGGATACAAGCAACATGACAGCTATTACGTGTTAATAGTGTTTAAGTGCTCACTACAATAAGTATTTAAGACAGCAAGAATGCGAACAGATAGGGAGCCGATGCGTATTAGCTCAACATCGCTATTTGCAAGGAGTGCTTTGATATTTCGAGGAACAGGTACCTGTGCGTGTA